CTCGCGTGCTTGTACGCACACGATACATGAGTACAGTCTGGTGCAAATCTGACTTGCATAGGAAAAATTCGACGAACAAGAGGGAGGATGCCGTTTACTCAACGAATATTTCAGATCGTTTAAGCATTTGAAAATTTAGAGATATGTAGATTCAAAATTTTGGGAAAAGAGAACTGTGGGAATATAGAATATGGGAATTTACAAATATAGGAACTTGGAGATATAGGAATATAGAGATATGGAAATTTAGAGATTTTGCAATTTAAGAATTTCGGAATATAGACAATCTGACATTTAGGAATTTGAGGATTTACAAATATGGAAATCTAAGAATTTAGAGGCTTACAAATTTGCAGATGTAGATATTTGGAGACTTGAGAATTTCGAAAGGTTGATATTTGGGGATTTAGAAATATAGAAATCTAGGAACTTGGACATCTGGGAATTTGAAGATTAAAAAATTTCGTGATCTTGTAATTTAGGGGTTTAGAAATTTGGAGACATAGAAATTTAAGGATACAGCTATTTGCAGGTTCCTCGGATTTGAAGACACTGGGTTTTCGAGACTTTGCGATTACAGAATGTAGAAATATCGTAATCTAGGTATTTGAGGATTTAGGACTTTAAGAACCTTAGAATTTAAAGACTCTGTGACTTGCGGAAGTAGATATTTGAAGATCTTAGAATTTGGAGATCAAACATATGGAAATCTGAGAATATAAGGATTTAGAAATTTGGCGATACAAATATTTGAAGACCTATGGGTTTGAAAACTGAGGTTTTAAATAAAATCTCTTTAAACAAATATGAGAATCTAGAAATGTGGAAACCTTGGAATTTAGTGATTTCGAAATTTGTGGATCTAGGATTATGAGTATGTACGATTTTACATGTATATACATATATTTGAGGATTTGTATGTTTAGATATTCAGAAAAGTGATGATTTCGTTGGCAACTTGATAATTTGAAAAATTTGAAAAGTTAAAAACTTCAAAATTTATAATTTGGAAATTTTAAGACTACACAATTTGATAGTATAGACTTGCAGTAATCTAAAAATTTGAGAAAGATTGGAAATTGAATATATTTGAAGATTTCAAAAATGCGAAATTTGAAAGCAAAAGTTTAGAAACATAGAAAGACGCAATTTAAATATTCCGAATTTTTGGAATTAAAAATTTTTTAATTAGATATTGTGAAATTTTTTAAATCCACAATTTAAATAATAGAGAGTTTAGAAACATAGAAAGATGAAATTTAAAAATCGAGAATTTTTTAATTTTCGGTTTTAAATTGTGGAATTTAAAAGTATTTAAATTTGAAATTTGGGAATTTAAAAGTTCTTAAATTTGAAATTTGGAAATTTAAAAATATTTAAATTTGAACTTGGAGAATTTAAAAATTTCTAAGTTGATACAAGCGTAGTGCAAAGGAAGTCTGCATTGACTCCGAGTGTACACAGCGTAATAAAATTACACAGAGCACGGTTACAGCGCTGTAGGCGGACTAGTCGCTGACAGACGACTGCCCTATTTCGGATTTAACACCTTTCCGTGGTTGGTAGACGACAAAGCTACTCGAAATCGCGTTATCAACGTCCTTGATGCATTCTCGGAAATAAACAAGTTAAGTGAAAAAAAGTAATGAAAAGTAGAAGTTGTAGAATTTGGTACTTATGTAATTCATTACGATTGACTTTATATGCCTTATGTTTTACTTATTACGATTGAGTAATGTGTAATATTCAATATGAATAATTAGATTTTAATACATTCATAAAAATTTCAAGATACAGGAATTTGGAAAGATAAAAATATATTTAGATTATACATTTGGGGAACATAAAACTTTGAGGATGCACTTATAAGGTTGTAAAAAAGTATTCGCAACTTTTCTTTGCAGTAAAACAAATAAAGGAATAAACAGTTTGACGAAGAAATAAACAGTATTCTGTTTATTGAGTATTAAAGATATTCTAACATGATTGGTACTATAGTTTTACGAATTTTTAAAAATATATAATAAATTATAATCGTTCATCATGAAAGTCTCATGAAGTTTTTCGAGCTTTTCTTTATAATACAAATAAAGAAATGTAAAAATATTCCAACTGTGGTTTCTTTATGAATAATTGCGTCGACTAATCAATATTAAAGATATTCTAGCACGATTAACACTTTCATTTTTGAAATTTCAAAGAATGATACTCAATAAATTATAATTATCCATCAACAAAGCAACAAAGGTACCGCCGTCATTGAAAACACCGCCATATTGATTATTAACTCATTCTAATCTAATTACAACATTATCAAGATTTTACATTATACTAGTACAAAATAGTGTAAAGTTAATTTAAAAAGTGCTTGCAATTGTAATAAAAACAAAGGACGATTGTTAGAAGAAAGAATAAAGTCATTAATATTAGCTTGTTAATGATTTTTCATTGAATGAAAGACAAAACCATAAATTGCAAAAATATTAGTATTAGAAGGATCTACGGTTTACATTGTGTGCAGAAAATATTTAAAAAATGAGTTTATTGAAGATAAACTGCAATTTTCACATAATCCAAAGAAGCAGTTATATTTAATCCATTATTTACACATTTTGTGAAAAAATGTAATCTTCTTGAGAAGTCGGCAATTAATAGACATGTACAAAAATAAATTCATTATAAACCGAAGTATCGACTAATTCTTTATATATTGTAACATAAAAAATGTTCCGAAAACGTTTTCACATCACTGTATTTTGGAGAATTGTAAAATGAGAATATAGAAACCTTAGAAATTTAAGAATTTGATAATATGTATGTAATTTTAGAGACATAGGTACTTGGGGATATGTGGTACATAAAAATTGTAGATTGCAGAAGTCCAAAAGTTCAAAAATTCAAGAATACAGATAATTGGAAAAATAGGGACCTAGAAATACGATGTCCACAGATAATTGGAAAAATAGGGACCTAGAAATACGATGTCCACGCAGAAATTTGGAAGTATAGAATTTGAGTAATATAACATACATCTACGAATATATAACTTTATATAAACGTACGAATTTGAAATACTTGAAAATCTAAAGACTGAAGAAATCTTTAAAATGTATTTTTATTGAAGTAAATGTGAAAAATAAAGGTACTTGAAAATATTACATGAAATAATAAAAAATTCATATATTAATTAATATAGTATTAAAAAGAAATGTCTCAGAATCCAAAAATTGCAATTCGTATAAGAAAAAAGAAAACCTTCAAATGAAAAGCAGTTTTATTATATGAAATCATTATTTCCCAAAACCACGTGACTTTCATTTCAATCATTTTACGTATTTAATAAATATTCATAATTTCAACGATATCTGAATGGATGATTTAAAGGATTTATCCTGGACTAATTTACGAGTTTAATTTAAAAATTTAGGACAGTATTATAAACAGGAAAGAGAATGCTGTTATTAGAATTGGTTACTCGAAAATTAACACATGGATACCTAATGGATAAATCACCACCAAGAATGTGCGAAGAGTGCAATACTCAAATTACGATTAGACACTTATTATATAACTACACGAAAGTGGACTAATTCAGACCTACGACTGCTATCAACCCAGACAAAGTGTTAACAGGACGAGCACAGATGCAGAAATTAATTAATTATTTTAAAAATGTTGAAAATCTAACACAATTATGTCTTACTTTTATATGTAGCTATGTGTGCTGTAAATATCTATATATTTACATATCTAAACATCGAAGAATCTATGAATATATATACGTGTTTGAATATATAAATATTCAGGTATCTACCTATACAAATATCTAAATATCTAAATACCTGAATGTCTAAGTATCTAAATATGTAAATATCAAAACAACTACACATTTGAGCATCTAAATATTTGAATGCCTGCAAAACTAAATATCTGAATATCTGCACGTCTGAACATTCAGATATGTAAATGTCTATATATGTAAATATATTATTACCTAAATACTTAAATACCTGAATACCTGAATACATAAACACCTAAATACCTAAATACCTCAATACCTAAATACCTAAATACCTAAATACCTAATACCTAAATACCTGAATACCTCAATATCTAAATACCTAAATACTCAAATACTTAAATACCTAAATACCTAAACATCTAAGTATCTAAATATATACCTAAATACCTAAATAATTAAATATCTAAATACCTAAATATATACCTAAATACCTAAATAATTAAATATCTAAATATTACAATATTTAAATATCCAACTATCGAACCTAGACGTTTAAATATTAAATATATGTATTGACACTTTGAAGCCAAAAATGAAAACTTGCACTATTGATATAAACGAAGACAATTATAAAATATATTTTCACGGACTTGAAGACAGGAAGATTTTCCAATTCCTTTTCCTTTTAATGTTTCTATCAAATTTTAAGATCGAAAAAACTATTATCATCTCGTGGATCCCAATTTACCAACCTCTACACTAAGTGATCAAAGACCTACTTCTCAATCGCAATCACACAAGAACACATACTGTATTTTGTAACAATGCTCTAGTACAATTGTCTACAATTTTTCAAACTTCTGTTCACATTATCTAATAGATCATCAAGTCCCACACGCGTCGCGACGATGTTCACGCAGTGACGCAGGAATAACGACGCTCTCGATGATCTAATCGCGCTGACAAAAACATTACGTTTGCCAGAGCTCTGTCGGCCTTCTTCGACACAGCATTCTCGCCCTCGCAATTCCATCCGGGCATACAATACTTGTAATAGGGGAAGGTCGAATCGCACGCGCCGTTCTGGAGCACGAAACGCGATCCTCTCGATGCACCTGACTTTTTACCAACGGTGCACATGTATTGCGTGCACTCAATTTCGCGTAATCGATTAGTGAATCGAGACGACCCGGTCGATCCCGGATTATTTTGTCGAACTCGTTCGAGGTAAAAAGATTGTTCGAGAGCTGATACGTACCCCACTAACAATCCCGGCCAGGAAGACTGCGGATGCGACGAATCTGAAAGAAGAGATTAACAAATCAGTCAGAAAAACAGACGTTGCATTTGACTTCACTTTTAATTATACATAATCATGGACTGTAATTTATGGAATATAATGAGGCTTGTTGACAATTTTTCTTCTGCAATTCACAAACAGTTGCTAATCTTGCTTTTTGGATTATTTTAAATTTTATTTACAAAGCTTTGTTATAAGTTGCACACTGAAACAGCAAGTAGCATCTTTGTACGATAGGGTTAATACATGACAATTTCTATGAAGACTTTTCTCATATTTACAGTATCTTGAAAAGGTTTTAAAGTATAAACTATGATTGAGACTCAGAAAAAACAGAAAAAGCAAAGTAACATATAGTTGTTAGTTCTAAGAATTTGAATTAGGAATTATTATAATTTTTTATGCCATACTACATCACACTTGTATACCTGCAGCTCAAATGTGGAGCAAATGACTCATATTTTCTGTACCCTTGAATTTTAAGTTTAATTCTAATTATAAATTATAGAGTCGAGGATCACTAAATGCAAAATAGGAAAAACGTTTCAACTTTCGTTGTCTTAATATTGTAACAATGAATTGTTATCTCTGAATGACTGCCCATAAACTTTTATAATAACATTGAAAAAAAGGTACACAGAAACTAAATAGTTGATTCTTGAAATAATTATGAACCTACACGAACTTCCTTTCATAAATATACATAATAAAGTCAAAATACCGTAATCATATGCAAAATTAATTTAAAAAACTCAAGTATGTTAGCTAGCAACATTGAATTTCTAACACTATTAAAGTAAAAAATATTATTTACTTATCTATTGTAAAATGTATAATTAGTTTTGCCAATGTGCTTCAAGGTGTTACAGCGATTAATGAAGTTACATATCCAAAATTGTGTAAGAAATAAAGCATTCCATAGTTAAGATAAGAGAAGAGAAATTATTACCAATAACAGAATCATATTAAAGCTTTTTGAGATATTTGATTGAATGATACTTGCTTTTTACAATAGTACTCGATTATAAAATATAATATTCTATTTTTGCTATCTTATGAACATACAATGTTTAATTAAATTTGTACAAATATGATGACTAAATTTAAGGTTTGTGAAATATGAAATTTATTTTATATATCGTTTTATTGGAGTTTAATTGAAAAATAATTTTTTTCATGCACAGACAGACATTTGAAATTCAATTGAAAAATATGACATTTGATAAAACATATATAAACGTAAAATATTTTGTCAATTTGTAAATGGAAGTTTAAAACTTGAATGTAAAATATAATATTTCGTTCTTTGCGGAGATAGGAACTGTTATCAAATTTGTAGACGTAACAGAAAAACTTCAAAGCTGATTATGAAATACGTAAGTTTGTCTTTCACATTGAAATTATGTTTGTAGGACGTTTAAATTGAAGCAGATGATTAAAAAAACAATCTAGTTCTCGGTATATCAATTTCTATCTAATTTAAAGAAAATTGAAATTCAATGATAAAATTTAAATGCAACAGATACCTCAAATTATTAAGTATATTGAAATTGAAAATCTCTAAAAGTAAATCAAAATTTGAACATTTCCTAATTTAAACAAAATTCAATGTAAAGATGGTAAATTCTGAATATCGAGAACTTTAGAAAATGTCATGTGTTATATCGAAATTAGTAAATCAAAACTTGCAGAAAGAATCTATAAGAAGATCGACCACCGAAAACGTAGTACTTGAAATATTACTCTAATTTATAGACACTGAGAACAGTTTCTTGAATAAATATTGCGACAGAAATACAGAAACTTACAATCGGCAAAATGCAGCATTCGAAATGAAAGATGTCACAAAAGAAGTTTCATGAACCTCTTTATTCATCGATGACAAAATCAAGGAATGACAGAAATCAAGTGACAGAATCCGAAACTCTGTCGAAAACCTCTGTGTTAGAACTTTGCCAAAATTGTACAATCATCTGTCACACTCGATATTCGAAGAAATTGAATCACTTATGACAGACACGAGAAACTTGGACAAACAGGCGGTTCTCAAAGCGTAGAACACACAAAACTCGATTAGATGACGAAGTCTCCTCGTGAAAAGGATAATTGTCCGCAAACACACGTCCCTCGTCCTTGAAATCCACTCACCGATCGGTACATAACGGGGGTTAAAAGTGTCCCCTCCGTCTGTCATGAAAATACCTGTGGCGCGTGCAAGAAGCGAGAACGTGAACGAAGAAGTGTCGAAAATAGAGAAGTAAAAACAGCCGAGCGTGGAAGAAGAAAAGGAAACAATCCCTTTATTCGTCGCACAGTAACCCGTCGGAGTTGCACGAGGACGGAACAATATCTCCTGCAATACTTCCGTGTCACGTTATAAACAAGATGGAACAGAAGCAACACGTTCATCGAACGAACGCACGTGTTCATGCAATATAGAGATCATTGACGTAACAACAGGTTGACGAACCAGCAACGCTACCGAGAAGAGAAACGACAAGTATAAGTCTAACAGAAAGGAAGAAAATAAAAGACGAAGGAAGAAGAAGACGAAGAAAAAGAAGAAATCGTAGAAGAGAATAAGTAAAAGGAAAATAAGATAAATCGCGACTCACCGCAATCCCAACCGGGTCATTTCGACCTCCCTATTCCGCGCCGGGTCTAGGGAGCCGAAGAGCACAGGCTAACACGGGCACCGCACGGGCAGGCAGTCACAAAATATCGCGGGGAACCCGGCACCGAGTAGACGTGGTGTGTGGACCGTCCCATCCAGGGAGGGCTCTGAATGAACTCGGGTGGAGGGAAGAAGGAGGGTGGAGGAGGCCGGTCGAGCCACGCCAGCTAGAATTCCTCCGGTCGAAAGGATCTCTTCTGTCGAGAGAGGCTTCCTTGTCTCGGTTCCGCGAGACTTCTCGTGTACTCTCGCGCTGCTGTTCGCGTTAACCTCCCCCGCTGCTCTCTCCACTCGCGACCAAGAGAATCGAACTCTCCAGCCTGCCTCCGCCAACTGCGGGACCAGAAGATACCAGCGGACACAGGGCGCAAGAAGAAAGGACAGAGGGAGAAATCGAAAAGAGCGCGAGGAAGGGGAGGTAAGGAAAGAAGAGTTAACTGGAGAGGGAAGTAAGAAGGGAACAGAAGCCGATGAAGAGGAAGAAGAAGAGGAAGAAGTAGTAGGGGAGAGGGTGTAAGGAAGGGGAGAAGTGGCGGAGGAGGAAGAGGAGGAGAGGATTGCTGACCGGGTCGAGGCAAGCTTGGTCGCGCGTCGCACGAGGACTGTTGCGCGGCCTCAGCCGATGTCGATCGCGTCGTAGGTCTCTCTGGCTCTTCAGGCGAGCACCGAGCTAACCGGCGAGCAAAGCGAACGAGAGGGGAGCATCTAGCCGGCGGCAGAGTGACGCGCAAGGATACAGCTCCACGAAGAGGAGAAGAGAGAAGAGCGCCTCCTCCGCCGCCGACTTAGGCTTGTCTGGCTGCGTGGAGCGGCTTGGGATCGGGAGGACGGGCCAACCGGGCCGTCTGTCTGGCCCTTCGACACGCGCTGCCTCGACAGGCTGGCCGACCAGCCACCGCATCGTTTTCAACCACGACTACTCTTCGACTGACAGAGACTCGGAATCGGAGCGTGCACCGTTCCAACGACTCGAGACACGATCGGCGTCCGCTACTCGGAGGGCCGCCGTTTACAAGCTACAGCCACAGGTAAACGGGGAACACGGATCGGGAACGGCGGCAACAGCACGAGGAGAAGGAGAAGCTTCGGACACAATGCGGCCTAGGGCCGCGACAACCTCCACCGACCCAGCCCGTGGGTTACATCCGTTCCCGGTTGTCCTGCGAGTCACCTGCGTCCTTGCCCTACTGGTCGTCACGTGGATACCGGTCACTGAGGCTGTGGTGAGTGAGTCCTTGAAATATCCCAGTCGCGTAACCGTTCGTTCCGTAGACACAGGACCTGGATAATCAGTGTCCTGTCGTGGGTTTTCGTTCGAACTGTGCATTCTCGATGCTTCGAAGATATCCTGTCTTCCTGTGCTGTATTTTAAAAACGATCAAGTAGATACGACGTTGTTTCTGTAAAGTGTCATTTAGCTTCTTCTCGTGTTTACGATGGTAATAGATAAATTTGTAGAAGAGGAGGTTCATTTCGAGCGAACACCCGCCATGTGACTAGCGATCGATCAACGATGAACGAGCTATCGTGGCGATTGAAACGCTGGTCAATCGAGTTAACGGTTCGTTTAACTGCGTGATTACGTAATTGCATAAAACGGTTCACAGCAGGAGAGGGAGAAAAGTTATCGCGAATTTTCACCGCGCGGAACGTAACTGATTAAGGTTGGCACGCGAGAAGTTCTCTGAACTAAGTTGACGGTACCGTTTCCGGTAGATCGTCGGGTCAACGTTATCGCACTATTCTGAATACGTGATCAACGATCTCTTTGAGCTTTCTTTCGAGTCGCGAGACCTAGAAAGTCGATAATTGTCTGGTCTAGGAACGTGGGTACCCACGTTTTATGAACGTAGGTTTTGATAATTTGCCGAGAACAGATAATGTCGCGAGCATCTGGAATGACTTGAGTCGTTCAATCGTTTTTAGGAACAGAATGAGTCCGTGACACAGATGCGTGGGAATGGCGGTCATTTCATAAATTACTCGATAAACTCAACATTGGTACAAACTGTACGAGATTCGAACTTTCGTACAAACAATTTGCGTTTTACGTTCGAATTCGATAAACTTATCTTAGAAATGATACAGTCATAAGGAAAAATTTATTTTAAGAAAGTTATTCCGAATAATTTAACGTAACAACATTTTTTCAATTTTTCATTCTTCTCATAATTAAGGATGTTGTGAAATTAGTACATTGATAACACAGTAGCACAATGCAGATAACGAAAAACAAACTGGGATTCGGATACCGAACAGGAGGAAGTTTAAATTAAATTTCAAATTTGTACAAAAATTTGGTTTATTAATATATAAAAATTAAAGGATAAACAAATTTTTACAGAATTTTAGAATGTGCTGCAGTACAATACTTTTTGAATAGTTTTGAAACATTAATTTCAAATAAAACTCAATTATTCCAAACGTATTGAACTATATTTAATCCAAATAAAAATTAAATTAGAAATTTAAATAAATACAAGGTCTCCAATTTATTTTAAATTATTTATTTTCATTAGAAAAAGTTGTTTCTAATTTTTTATTTAATCTTCGATTTATCTTAAATTTGTGTTCGAAAATTATGCGAATAATAGAAGTCAATTATAGAATACGTCTATGAATACTCACAAGAAACGATAATTCATTCATACAACAGTTTAGTCTAAATAACGTATACATATTGCATTTAATTCATGGATCGTGTTAAACTGTTACGTAGGCGTGATGTTTTGCGTGAATAAGACAGAAAACGTTTAAATTTCATTGAGTGGCGTCCAGTGATGCAGTTAGCTGTTAAACACGCTGGAAATATAGGTCATATAATCTTTGCGTGTGTACGGATTCGTTTCGAACTGTTTGCACAGAACTTGCTTTATTAACGTTTCCATGAAATCGTTCTCGTAATCTAAGAAAATCGTTTCGATCTCTGCGATCAGTACAATTTTTATTTTAATACATTCCACTTTTCAGTTTACATTAAACGAATAAGAAAATACGAATATGGAAACATTTCTTATGAATTAATTGTGAATAAACATAGATTTTTCATTAAAAAGTATAAATTTAAAACAGTATAAAGATAAATAAAGTAAAATAGAAAATAAAATGTGAAAGACATTAATAAAGTAAAAAATAGAAAAATAGAAAATGTATAAAAATTAAGTATAAAAGTATAAATGTTTTTAAAAGTATAAAGTTAAAATTCTTCAGGAAAAAATGACTAAAAGTTATAAATTTTGTTCATGATTAGAATAATTCATTTATTGTATTATTGCTACTATTGAAAGTTAAAGTTGTTACATTTATGATATTTAAATGATAAACTGTTATTTTACGTTATTATATATGAAAATATTTAAACAATGATTATGATCAAATTAAATGATGAGCTTCGTAACTAATTGTTATTAGAATAAAACTTAATTTGAATTTATTAAAGTGACTCCGTTGTTACATGACACTTCTTCAATCTCGTAAAAAGAATCGTATAATCTGAAATAATATTGTGTTTCAATTAATATACGAGGAGGTGTGGCTGCGGATGAACACACACATGGTACACAAATCACCACCCTCGCCTTAACTGAGTTTCACGTGTGGCTCCTACACGATGTCACAAACCGTTAAAAGCATATTTCTGAGGACGTCAGATTATGAATAACGTAAACCAAGGTATTTTTACAATCATACAAAAATTTACGCAACAATATAACCCATTGCATAACCAATTCACATCTCATCTCGGATGAATATTCGAAAATCATTGATTGCTCGTCTTGTTCTCACGTATCTTATCTTGTGAAGAGATTCGTCAGTAGCTTCCGAGATTGGAAAGATCTGTTTTGTAGAAATAATAAGTAGAGTTGGATATTATTTGATTAACCTTCAAATTTACATTTTGAATGAAAGAAGAATATCTGAAGATTTTCAAACACTAATTTCGAACGAAGCCTAATTATTCTGAAAGTGTCGAACAACTATTGATTTTAATAAAAAATTACTCGTTTTCTTTTATATAATAAATTTGTCTTATTTAAAATATTTATACGGAGGGAAGTCTTCGATATTTGATTCGAAGAAATTGTTGTTTCTTAATATTTTTCTTTTATTATAGTTTGGACTTGAAAATTATTCGAACAATGCTCGACTCTGACCATAAGTATTGTAAAGGAAATTTAAACGATCACACATGACAAATTTTTATTGCATTCATCAAAATTTAGTAGAAAATAAATTAGAAGGTTAATAAATACAAATGCAATTCAATTTAAAAACTACTTAAAGGTTTTAAACTATACATTTCAATTAAATTCAATTGTTTACATTTTCAAGAATAAATTTTATTTTATTTTAAACAATAATATCTAAGCAAATGATCTGATATTTAAGAAATGAAAATGAAAAATTTGAAATTCCTACGCTGAGTACGAGGGTTGATTTATAAAATATGCGGATACCCAAAAAATTATGTTTACGATAGAAAAGAATGTTATATAATTTTATACAAAACTCGTGACAAATATGTAATTAAATTTATTGCCAACGATATTTAACAACGGAAGCCACCGGTAATTGCACCTTATATTTAGATGTAACGTCAGGGCATAGCCCTGTTGTATACAGCACTCTATACAGCACGCGTGTTAATGTAGTTATTAAAAGCACAAGTACCACTGACGTCAGAACTAATTGGTTACTAGAGTTACCAAAAAAGATGATAAAACATAAACAGAATAATAACAACATTGAAACTTCAAACAATAAATAAATTCATCTCAGTGTACCTCAATACAACTTAATCTATCTAAATATAGCTCAATTTCTGCTATAAAAAGCATTTTATAGCAGATTTGTTAATAATTCTGTTCTTGCCCCATTGCACATAAAATAAAATTTTAAAGTATTTAACTTCAAGTTACGCTCCTACCCCATTTTCGGGGAAAGTGCATAGTAGTTAACATTTTAAACAATTTCCTATCAAAATCAAAACGTACAAAGAAAATTAAGGTCCTAGTTAATATTAATTAAATAGTAGTAATTGTGCAAAGCGTTCGATATCGACAGCGTTAAGTATTTACATAGCAGACTGAAAATACTTACGTTTAAATACCAACTTTACAAAAACCAGTCTGCACTTACCTCGCTTCACCTTACAAGGATTTCTCCAATATCAGGAAAAGAAAGTTTTTTAAATAATAGTTTTCTGTATCACGAGAGTTCACTAATGAATAGAAAAATTAAAACGATTAATAGACTAAAAAATTTTCCATATGTCAGCGCTTATACATTTTTCAATAGTATAATTTACTAGTACAGTTGCACTTTCAACGCTCCCAAGTTTCTTAATTATCTCATATTTAGTTTCTATAATTAGCATTCCGCATTTCCGCATCGGCAACATCACGCTATATTAATAATTTTACTAACCGATTCACGCTAAGTTCTGTTTGTAGCGAATTACTACTTAATATTTAATCGTATTTCAATCAAATTGGGATAAGGTTTCAATATCAAGAATAAAGCTCATGAATATATTGGACTTCCATTATCATACTTTAATATTTTCATTTTAATTGAAGCGATATTTAATATTTGTTCAAAACGTCATTCCGAAAATGTAAATAATAAAAGGAATACTTTGAGTACCTCAACCGGTAATTTCATTTGTAAATCTAATAAAAGAATGTGCGCTTTTGTAAATTTTTTAGAAAAACATATTATTTTTTTCTTAATGTATAAACTTTCTTTTGCTTTAAAATATACAATTTCAACCATTTTTATTAATTTTTGTATGCAAAGATAATGAGAAATATAAAAGATGTTCATGTTTAGTAACTTATTTTTTGAACAAGTTTTACTGTGATCTCAATTGTTTTAATTATTTTAATTATTAATACTGAACATTCAACAATTTTAAAATGTTAACTATAACGATTATAAAAAAGAATATGATTTATCTTATAATAAATCGTGAACGAAAAAAAATGACATTAAAAATTTCTATTTTCATTATTAATATTACAAAATCTATAGATTCTGGTGTATATCTCAATTCAGCACAAATTATTTTATCACTGTAAAAAGTAAGGAAAATTTATTATTATAGACATTTAGTTTCAACAGATATTTTGAATTTTCTAAATTTGATTCAGCTTTCAAATTTATAAATTAATTAGAACACAGAATATTTGAGAACGAAATATTAAAGATAGCGAGTTGAATA